TCATTATATTTTAATTTTCTTATATTTCATTTTTTATTTTATGAAATATTTGCAATATTTATTTTATTTTTATTTAATGTTATGTTACAAAATGTTATGTTGTTTTTATTGTATGTTTATGTTATGTTATAACATAAAACAGAGAATGTAATAAAAATTAAAAAACAAAAATAATTAAAATAAAGACAATAATAATAATAACAAAAAGAAAATAAAAATAAAAATTGGTAAATACAAAAATAAAATGAAAATAAAGTAAATAAATATTTTATTTTATTTAAAATCTTTTTATTATTTATGTTTATTATAAAAAAGTAAATATTAAAATAAAATGAAAATGAAATAAAATAAAAATGATTAAAATAATATTAAATATTTTTACTTATTTTTATTTTTTTAGTTTTTAGTATTTTATTTACTTATTTTCATTTTATATTTAATTTTATTATTTTTATTTATGTATTATTTAACATTACTTATTTTTATTTTTAATTATATTTTAGTTTTTTTATTATTTACTTTTATTTAATTGTATATTTATGTAATTTAATGTAATTTAATTTAATATATTTAATTTTTGAAATAATAATAATAATAATAATAATAGAATTGAAATAAAATAAAAATGAAAATGAAAATGAAATAAAAATTAGTAAAAAAATAAAGATAAAAATAAAATAAAAATTAAAATAAAATAGAAATAAAATCAAATATTAATAAAAATAAAAATACAATACACTCATCCCTCCCTGTTCATGGACTTGGAGTCTGTGGCTTTAGTCTTTCACAGACGGTGAGCAGGGAGGGACAAAATAGCATGCCCTCCCGGAACGGATCCCCTGTGAATTGGGAGGGACGACTGTATAAATAAAATAAAAAATAACTGAAAATAAAAATAAGATAAAAGTAAAATAAAATAATAATAAAGTATAATTAAAAATTAGTAAAAGTTAAAATAAAATAATGAAAATAACATAAAATAAAAATAAATACAAATTAAAGTAAAGTAAAAATAAAAATAAGGAAAAATTAAAATTAAATAAATACAATTAAATAAAAATTAACTATATAATAAAATTGAAATTAAATTAAAATAATAATAATTTAAATAAAATAAAATAATAAACACAAACATAAAAGAAATATGGTTAAAATAAATATAAATATAAATAAAATATAATGGTAAATTCAGAAAAAGTTAAAATAAAAAATAAAATTAAAATAATAAACATAAAATAAAATAAATCAATAAAATAGAAATGAATAAAAATAAAAACAAATCAATAAATAAAACTCCTATGGAGGATTGGTATATGTGGATCCATTCTGACCTGGGATAAAGAACCAATATCCTACTGTAATTTAGCCCTGGTTAAATTAACCCACCACTGTGCCACGGACCCAGTACTAGAGCACACTCCTTACCTTACTGTCCTGTAGCCTTTACTGAAAAGAGTTCCATTGCCATGTCTGATGGAGCCCTGATGGCGCAGCGGTTAAATGCCTGTACTGCAGCCACTCATTCATAAACCACAAGGTTGCGAGTTCAATACTAACCAGGGCTCAGGCTAGACTCAGGCCTGCATCCTTCCGAGGTCACTAAAATGAGGACCCAGCTGTTGGGGGACAATGGGCTTACAGTTGTAAACTGCTTAGACACTGCATAGCGCGGTATGAAGCGGTATATACATGAAGCTGCTTTGCTTTGCTTTGCTTTGCTTTGCTTTGCTTTGCTTTGCTTTGCTTTGCTTTGCTTTGCTTTGCTTTGATGTGAAACACCCATGTGACCAGGCACCCCATTTCTGCTTCCAATGCAGCAACAGATATATTTTCAGTAGCGTCAATGGGAGAACAAGGTAAGGAGTGCATGGGAGCTGCCTAATCAGTTGGGGTTTCCTGCAGGGCTTCCAGGAAACCCGTGGCAAACAGTGGGTCCTTTTGATCTGTGTTACATCTCCGTTAACCTGGGATCAGACCAGATCCACCAGATCCACATCTGGCCCAAACTTGGTTCTGGAGTTCTGGCCTCTGTTGTCTAAAGAGGACAATGTGAGTCCAGGGGGAACACAGGGTCTCTTTCTGCAGCACGGTGGTAATTTGACAATGATCAATTCCCCCTTCCTCACACCAGGTGACAGGGAGTGGTGCCAAAGGAAGGGACATCCTGCCATCCCTGCTTGCCTACCTTGTTGCCTTGCAGGGACAGAATAAAACAAGAGGTGAGGTGAGGACAGGACAGGGACAGGTCCTTTGTGCAGTCAAGGGAGGGACTATGTGAGGGGGACAGGGACCCTGCCCGTGATTTCTGGTGGTTGGATATCTGTCTGCTAACCACCCATTTCCCTTGATTGTTCCTCACAGCTTGCTGACTGGAGCAGAGGGTCACTGCCATGGAAGAACAACCTGCACCTGTTCAGCCATAAGCCTAACCCTAACCCTGTACAAACCTGTTCCTCCCCTGTACGTGCCCCCCCTACCCCCATGGTTTCCATTTGACTACCATGCTTCTAAATAGTTACAATCAATGAATTTTATTATTCATAAAATGATGTTTGTCATTCATCCACATCATGGGGGGGGGAGGGTGCAGCGAGTCAGTGTGGTGCAGGGAAAGTAACAGCTAACGTGGCTCAGGGGGCTATCAGGAGGGGGTCAGGGATGGCCTGATCTGTGATGGGGGGAAAGAGGCTGCCAGGGATAGTGGTGATAGCTTTGCCTGGTTATGGCCCATATCACTGAGGATGGGTGCTGAGAGATGTGCCAGGAGGTCCCTCATGGGTCCTGAGTTCTGCTCTATGAAATCATCCACTGCACTCGCAGCCGCCACCGTCACTGGCTTCCACTCCATCCTCCTTTTAATCTCAGCCAGGCGGATTGTTGGGGGAATTGTGGCAGTGTAGTTCAGTACTTTTGGACTTGCAGGGCATGAGGAAGTGCCTGCAAGAGAAAGTTGGTTAGGGTGACAGGGGTCTTTCAGCCAATGCTCATTCAAGGCACAACATTGCCATTCACCCCTCCAAACTGCAGTCTCATACATATGCCCGGCCTGGGATGGCAGCATCTGGTTAGTAGCAGGATGTGTTCACAGTGCATTCTACATCTTGCCCTACTGCATGCCTAGCAACTCATAGCATCAATGAGTACATGCAATGCGGTGCACTAGTTGTCATTTTCGCAAGAGGGTGTACCCTTTGCAGCAGCTCCTGCATTCCAAAGCAACTCATAGCCAACATCACCTAATGCCTGTTTACCCTGGCTCTCTTTGTTGACTGTCTTGTCAGCCCATGCCAGGTTGACTGGTCATGGCGACCACTGGCTGCAGAGATGGACGTCCCCATTCCCCCACTGGGATGTCATTGCAGAGGACACCTCCCTAGGTATTTGGCTAATGCACATCACCGGAATCCTGCAGGTTCTCCTGGTCATCTGTGCAGTAGGGGAATGGGCTCATGGGTGCACTGTGGCCACTGTGATGGCAATGTCAGTGGCTATACCCAATAGGGGCAGCATGTGTTTACTCATCTGCCCTCCCACTCCCTACCTGAGGCCCCAAGCACATGTTACATGGAGTAGTTTCAAAGAACTCCTAGAAGCCTTTGCCTGGGTGGAGATGTACCCCCATTTGCTTCTGGGTGGCTGGCCGACTGGGACCTAGTGAATTTCGATGCTGTGGGTCAGTCACTTGGTGCACACAGTGGGCAGCTCTGTGAAGGAAGATGTTGAGCTCCTTGTAAAGGGTATGATGGCTCTGCTTCAGCTGCTGCACACATTGTGGTTGTGCAGAAGGAGCTGGTGGTTTTAATTTAATTGGCTCTTATGGTGGAGAATCTGCTTTGAGTGTGACCATTCAGGGAGCTATCCGAGGGGGTGCACTCCATCCCCAAACAGGTTCCCTATTTTGAACACGGCCTTTACATTTCATAATAAACCCAAGAACACTGAGAACATATATATTACCATTGTGGTGTCTGTGTGATGGAGGGGGGGGGGGGAGACACACATGAGGTTGCATTGTATTGCGTTTAGGTTGCAGCAGTTTTAATAGGAAAGAGGAACTTGTGTTATTCTGTAAGCTTAATTCTGTTTTAAGGGTAGGGTTGTTATGAGAGGGATTGTTCTTAATCTCTGCTGTTTTTTTAATATGTTGTAACCCGCCCCGATTGCGGAGCAGAGGGGCGGGCTATAAATAAAATTTATTATTATGTTATTCTCAAAGATTTTAAAAACCTCATCTAGACCAGAGACAAGTAAGTTGTTCTGTTTCAGGTTTTCCTGATGTTTGAGTGGCGTGACAGTGCAATTTATATATGGTCTGGCCTACTCTTTGCCATAAAGTTCTTGAGAAAACCAAAACCACAAAACCCAAAGGAAAACAGATGAAGCATAAAAACTGGGACCCCTGGTGGTTTAAATTTAGAAGGATGGCTTAACTGAGGAGGCTGACATAAGGCTACATTTCACAGAAGAAATCATGTGAAAATTCAATCAATGGAGTTAACTTTATTGTTGATTACTGTATCTATCACCAGACTGTCTTTTTTAATTAAAATGTTGGGGGAAACTTCCTGATGGTAAGAGCTGTAACTCCCATCATTCCTCAGCATGGGTTATATTCCTGGCATATTTCATTGAATTTGCAGAGTTTACATTATTTTACAAAATAAATTTACTTTCACATAATCTCGCACAAATATTGCAGCTGGCTGAAGTACGGGAGTTCAATGAAAATGAGTTGGTTTCAAATATTGTTTTCCATGGTTGTATAATTCTGGTGTTTTCAACTTTGCATCAGGGCTCTTGAAATGAGAAACTATTGAACTTTGCTTATTTTTCTGATCAAGATACCTTTGAAGTCAAAATGCCCTATGTAAGTTTTTAAGTACCAAAGCAAATAAAGTTATTTAACAAACTTTCCAACTGTATCAATAGATGGATACAATAGGACAATTTGTTAAATAATGCTATCATTATTTGTTAAATAATGTTATCAGCAGATGGGAGCCAAAATGGGATAGTGGTTTGAGTGTTGGACTATGACTCTGGAGACCAGGCTCAATTCCCATTTTGGCCAAGAAACCCACAGGGTGACCTTGAGCAAGTCACACACTCTCAGCCAATGGCAAACCCCCTCTGAAGAAACTTGCCAAGAAAATCCCATGATAGTTTAGTATTAGGATCAGCATATGTTGCAAATGACATGAAGGTGTGCAACAACAACCAACAGATGGAACCAGAGAGTGACAGATTTTTTTGCCCAAATCTTGAAATAATGGCATGAAACAATTATAGTTAAACTTGTTAACAAAATCTCTACCAAAGAAACTCATTTTCTACAAAGTCTTTTTATGGGAGCCCACCCACCCTCACCTTTTCTTGTATTTTGTCTAACTGGAAGTGTGTGTGTTTGTGTATGTGTTCTACAGCATTCGCACTGGGAACATGGTGGAGGGCTGGAAAAGGACAGACTTTCAGTGTTATGTTGCAGCAGCAAATCTGAAGTAAACAATGCAATACAGCTTGACCTGGGAAAAAATGGGATTCTACTCTAGATGATCCAACTATAGCTGTGTGTGTTTGTATACAACAGGCAAAGTAAACAGTTCCAGAACCATTTAGTCGGTGTGAACAGCAATAGAGAGGAAAGCAGAAAGCAGATTAGCCTGCCTCACCAGCAGTTTCTGCTTACTTGTGCAAGGCTTATCTGACCTGGTTGTTTCTTTTCACATGTGCAGAATGTTAATTTTGAATAAAAAGTTTACTGAAACATGCTGACCTGCTGTTTTTTGTGTGTGGTGTAGGTGGGACCTATCCCTATTCTTTCCATTTTTTTTTTTTTAATCTCTGGTACCAACGTTTCTGTTAGAAAAAGTAAAGCCCAGGAACAGATTTCCATCATTAACTGCAGTATACTTGTATTACGATTTGGTTATGGTGAGTGTCATAATTTTATTTGTTCAGTTCTTTTCCTAATTTCAGTCAGGGAAGATGGGGATTTAGTGCTTTTCTCTTTTCCACTGCAATATAAACCTTGATGGACAAACCATTCTAATTATAGCAAGGTTTGGAGATAGAGCAATTCAGAAAACAGCAGAAGAGAAAATTAAATGAACCTGTTGAAAAATATTACACACAAAACTTAGAATTCAAAGACTCAGTCCAGCTG